TCTAATTTTTTTTTTTTTTGAACTCTAACACGTCATCTACAAGAGATGAATGACCATACATAAGGTTCAAATGACCTTACGCAAGGTTTATACCACTGGGTCGAAACAAATTGTTCAATCAAAACAGATCGTTCAATCAAAACAAATCCTAATTAATGATAGAAATCTCCACTCTATAGTTCTAAACATTGTCAAATTATAAATTAATTAAATGATTTATCTATTTACCATTTGTCTTATAGCACAAGATAAGGAGTCTTTATGTCTCAATATAATTAGAAGTTATTTAGTGTAATAGTTTGAAATTAATGATTAATAATTTAATTTAATAAATAAGAGTATTTGAATTATTAATAATATTAACTATTAACCATCAAATTAAATCAAATCACTAATTATTAGTTTTAAACTATTATATCAAACAACCATTTAGTATCATTTTTTATTTAAAATTTATTATAAATTATTTTTTTGAATTTTTCAAGTAGAGGAATTTTTTTTATATTTTAATCTTATTCTTATCTATTTACTTTAATTATTCATCACATAAAAAAAGTACTACTTGAATTCAATTTTAATAGACCTAATTTTTTATTTGAGATGTTCAAATTTAATTATTCACTTTTCATTTTCAAGAGATCATTTAATGTATTCATTTTTATTTTATTCTCATTTTAAAAGATAATTACAACGTATATTAAATAAAAAAAATCTTATTTAAGTGATACTTAATTAGGGATAAATATGAAAATTTATCAATAATTTATTACATTGCTATTTTATTTAATAAAAAAAATCTACTAAAAATAAAGAAAAATACTTTTCTTTGAAGGTAATATAAGTAAATACATAAATTATTTCTAAATTTTTAATTTGAAAAAATAAAAAAGAAACAATTATTTCAAAACAAAATAAACATTACTTTTTATCTTAAAAAATATATAATTAATTTTTATTTTAATTATAAATGCCTAGTGTTATAGTTTTTTTATTAATTTATTTTAAATTAAAAACCAAATCTTATCTTTTTAATTCAAAATTTTTCATATTTTTTTAAAAAAATTACAATTATTACTTAATAATTATTCTTTATTTTGTGCTCTTGGAGCACAATATACATTTAAAATTAAAAATAGGGTTTTTTTTTTTCGGAACTTAAAGTCCAAGTTAAAAGGCCACTTTTTAATATTATCTTAAAACAAGCAGTACACGAAAGTTAAAAACACTAATTATTCACACAAGAATTAATGCATTTCACCTTTTCCTTTCTGGGTTCCAGATACCCAGTTGCACTTTTTTTTTTTCTAATACCCAGTAGTACTTTATTGCCTAAGAAAGACTTATGCAATTGACTCAATCCGGTGTTGATTACCTTCTGCATGACAATCAACCGTAACCCCTTTTCTCTCTACATTTTTGTAAGTATATTTCCTAGCCAAGAACACATAAACACATAAATTCAGTGCACTCAAAGCAGCCAACAACCAGTAGAAATTATCCAGACGGCTGTTGTTCAGATCTTTTCCAATCCAGCTTTTCCCACCCTTTTCTGTAATATGATCCACAACAATGATCAGGAAGTTGCTCATGAAGCTCCCAACCCCAATTACACTGAGGTAGAAGGCAATTCCCAAGCTTCTCATGGAGTCAGGAACTTGATCATAGAAGTACTCCTGCAATCCAACCAGAGTAAACCCGTCTCCTATCCCAAGAATCAGGTTCTGTGGAGCTAGCCAAAACACACTCATGGAGATTGGCCCTTTTCTTCTTCCTCGAGTAATCTCCTCTTCTACAGTTTTTAGCCTCTTCATTTCAACCAGGGCTGCAACTACCATGGTTAAAATGGCGAATATCATTCCAAAACCAATCCTTTGGAGGATTTTGATGCCTCTTTCATCTCCTGTAACTTTCCTCAGAAATGGGACTATGAATTTGTCATAGATGGAGACAGAAATTATCACTCCGATCGCGTTAAGACCGTAAACAGAGGCTGCCGGAATATCAAAGTTTTTGCTGATCCTCCGGTTCATCGTGGCGCCCTGTTTAACGAAAAAGGTGGGTGCTTGCATCATGCATACTCCAAAAATCAAGGAAGAAAGCCAAATGGGCATCATCCCCAAAACAAGCTTCAGTTCCTCCACTTTCGTCACTGTTGCTAGTTTCCATGGATTCTGGGTCTTCTGAGATGATGTGTTTTCCTTGTCTTCCATTATTGCAGCTTTGTCTAGAAATCTGGAGATGAAATTCAATGGGTTAGAATGGATTTAAAAGTAGTCAAACACATTTTGGGATTATGGTACAGTCTGATCACCATATGTTTGATTAAATTCCTCACCTAAGCCTATTGGTATGGCGCAAAAGCCTTCCTTGGGACTTCTCTGTTCGGGGGACTTCATATAGCAGGGATGGGTTGGAAGGGTTAGGTAACTTTCTCTTCCTTATAGCTGAAACCAAAACCTGCAAGAGAGGAGTTAAAGGGCTCCCTTCTGGTAACCTGTATCGGTAATAACGGTTCCCCACAAAGAAGATCAAGATTGTAACAGCCATGGTGGTAGTGAGGATAAGGGCTGCAACACCCCAGCTCACTTTTTCCTGAACGTAGACAATGACTGTGACACCAAGCAACAATCCCCAACACAGTGAAAAATTCCACCAGTTGAAGAAAGACATTTTCTTCTTCCTTTCTTCCAAGTGATCATCATCAAACTGATCGGCTCCAAAGCTTTCAAGGCAGGGTTTGAATCCTCCAGTCCCAAGGGAGATACAGTATATTGCTATAAAGAACACTACTTCATGTATTGTTCTCGGGTGTTGAGAATGTTGACACATGCCTTCATCGCATGGCTTTAAGCTTGGAATCAACTGAGACATTGCAAAGAGGCTCAAGCCCTGGTGTTCACAGCAATCAAAACACAAATATTCAGTTTCTTATCATACAATCAAGAAAATATGTTTCGGATTCTTGTACCAAGAATCTTTGGAAGTAGATTTACCATTAGATAAATGAGGGATGAGAACAGGATCATGGCAAAGCGACCTGTGTAGGCATCTGCTAAGAAGCCTCCAGCTAGAGGCATTATTGTTGTGGTTCCTGTCCAGTAGTTGACATTTTTTGCAGCTGTTTTGAGGTCTTGATGAAGCACGATGGTGAGGTATGTAATGAGATTTGTTGCTATTCCAAAGTAGGTTAGCCTCTCACTGAATTCAATTGCTGCCCCAAAAGTAGACAATGATTGTGACTACAATTCTATGATTGCATGTACCAATCTGAGAGTAAATTAATAATTTACATTATTTGAATTGGAAATATCAATTTTGATTTTTCTCCTGATAATCTTGTTTAGCGAACTAGTTAGTGCGGGAACCACGATTAAACTACTGATTGGATGTGGCCTTCCCTCAGTTTTAAGGCACCCGGCAGCCTTACAAGACAAACTACAGTGAAGCGGCACCCCACCCCCCCTTTTTTTTATTACATATATATATATATATATATATATATATTGTAGTGTTAAGAATGTTACTAAGTAGGCAGAAACTTCATTGCCTATTTTCAAAAAAAAAAAAAAAAAAGTCGGCAGATACTTATCACTTTATTACCTTTACAGGTCAGACCGAGAAGTAGTCAAGGACAAAAGAAATTAAGATGCTGATGCCCTCACAAAGAAGAATACCTTTACTAGTCAATCCTTTGGAGAAAGGCGACAAACGACAACCACAAATTCTGGTCAAGATAATATACCACAAATTCTGCACATGCTCTTACCTTCGCCATTGCAATTTGGTTCAACTTTCAAGTATGGAATTCTATACTGATATTTAGACCTACGGTTATTTCTGACTAATCAAATTTTTAAGAGGATCACTTCTTTAATATGGTATTTGAATCCAAATTTGGTTTTTGAGATTATATGGTGCTGTGATTATGAAATAATTAGGAGAAAAAAGGTCAAATAGATGCTAGAGTACTGTTGAAGAGAAGTTTTATATACACCGTGCAAACCAGTGAGGGTGTTGTGAGTTGAATCAAAGATGGATATATATACTAACCGATGATAAAGAGAGAGGCCTTCCACGCACCAGTTGAAGCTCTAAGAGGGACCTTTCCTCTATGATCAACAGATGAGTCATGAACCCATCTTTGTTCATCAGCTACGGATGGAGACATGTCCTGCTCCATTAATTTTTCACTTTGGCAGGGTTACTAAGAAAGAGTCAGGCTCAAGTTGAGAAGCTAGAAATAAGAGTAAGAGGGAAGAACTTTTACATGGAGAGCTCCGCTGATAATGGGTAGGAATGCTTTCCTTTGCTACTTTTATAGCTGTGGGGTTCTTTGAACGTGATCGCTGGTAGCCAAATGGGTTATTGAATATGTTAGATGAGAAAATTGATTGCAGGTTTTGTAAAAGAGCAAATAGTGTTGTGGCTGGCCCTTCTTTCCCTTTCTAAAAGTTGTAAGGTATTTTTCAGATATCTCAACTCTGATATAACGATTAGACTGACAAATTACATATAGAGATATTAAATGGGTAACCATTACTGCATAATCTCATATTATACTCTTTTCTTCCTCTCACCAAATTTCAAAATTAAAAGTTGTCCTTATATGCTTAGTATTTGGCTTGGTTGTAGAAATTTAGGGGGAATATACACTATATAACCTTAACTTGCAAATACTGATCTCTGTACAGGGTGGAAGACCTTGTCGTCTTAGATTTCAAAAGCTATGCTGTCTGCACACTAAATCAAGTCCATTCATGCTTCATTTGGCATTGCTTATAAAAAAACCCATCCAAGCTGGCTTTATTCTCTTATTGGTAATTCGAATAGAAGTTAGAAATGCAAAGGGATGTTGAAATTTTTGAAAATTTTAGGGTTCTAATAGGATTGGTTAGCCAGCATTCAATAGTATTATTTAAAGCACATGGACGAATATAATGGTGGGTCAGGAAAAAGCATTATGATTGAATATGGTCCAATCTTTGAGGTCCTAAAATATGATAACACTAACAGGTAAATTCCAATGGCATTTGCCATTTTTCTGAGTTTCAATTGAAAAGATTATCTAGCAACAGCCATTTGCTTTTCTGACTGGCTTTTCTCCAACTCTATCATTTTTCTTCTAGTAGTGCTATTCTATCTGAAGGAAGCTTCACAGTTTTAAATTAGAAAACTCAAAGCTCCATGATGATTCTTTCCTAGTGTTGAAGATCTAGATCCCCTTATTATCATATCTTTTAACTTTGATCTCCAACCACTGGGTTAATCCTTTCTCCAGTAATTGATTGGCAACTTTTGACATTTTCTCACCTTGAATTCATGATTATTGGATTTCCATGTGTCAATAGGCTAGTAAACTTTACCCTTAATTTTGTGCAAGAAAGCAAACAAAGAGATTCTGAAGTGAATAGAATAATCTTCACTATCCATGGCTGTGATTAGCTTTGTACGTTAATAATTCGGCTTCCCTTCAAATTTTCATCCTTCATATGCTGCTGAATTCTACACCATTCTAATGGTATAGATTCAAAGTTGTGTGCAGAAAGCATATACTATGTTGCAGAACAATGTATTTGTATTGTATTATGAACTAAATGTTACAGAAATCTTGTTCAAATCACATCAATCTCGACCTAAGCTTAGCAGAAGGTTAGATAAAAAGATATAGTATAGGCTAGCTTCTTGCTGCTCTTGAGAGGATAAGACAAGAAAAAGATATTCCATGAGATGACAGAAGGTATGCCATTAGACTAGTTTCTTAATCCATTTTTAAAGCATCTGATCCTATGTAGGAATATATATAAAATTTTACAAGGATCAGTATAAGGTGCTGCTGAGAATTGTTTAAAATCTCTCCGTCATGAAGTTAAGAATGCACTCAATGAAATCTCAAACTAATTGGGATTGGTTTACAATGTGAAGAATCACCCAAAAAAACTTGTCACAAATTTGAAAGAATGAACATAAACATGGTCAAGAAAGGAAGCTTAGGATGGGAAATTCTACACCTTAGAACCCTCTTTCCATCTAACCTCACCTATACAGAAAAAGGGTAATTCCCTTCCTGAAACAACATATCACCAGTTTCATCTTAATGTATGGCTCTCACGAGGCAAAGCAAAAACATGATTTCTAGTTGGCCTTAAGATGATTATATGTACTGTAAGTCTGTAATACAATATGTTCTAGTTTGAACAACATGGTTTCTTGGTGTCATTACTGGACAGATTGGCCATGTTAATGGTAGTGCCTTGAAGAAGCCCTGTGGTGGAAGCGGCCTCCTGTGCTGCCAGTGCCTTTTTGCTTATTATGTGGTAAATATCCAATAAAATTGTCTGGAATGCCTTCTCTACATTGAAGGCTTCCAAAGCTGATGTCTCAAGGAATGAAAGGGATTCCTTCTCAGCCAGCATCTGTGCATCATCTGTAGCCACTGCCCTGAGATGATTCAGGTCAGATTTGTTTCCAGCCATCATGATGACAATGTTTGAGTCTGCATGGTCCCTCAACTCACGCAGCCACCTCTGGACATTGTCAAAGCTTTGTCTCTTAGTTATGTCATAAACCATAAGCGCCCCTACCGCACCTCTGTAGTAAGCACTGGTGATGGCACGATACCTCTCTTGACCAGCCGTGTCCCATATTTGTGCCTTAACTGTCTTCCCTTCTACCTGCATTTCAATGAAATAATAATATACCAGGTGAACCAACCAAAATGGAAAAAGGAAAGAAAATTGTTTACAAAAGAATCAACCTGAAGGGTCCTTGTAGCAAACTCGACACCAATGGTTGATTTGGATTCCAAGCAAAACTCATTTCTTGTAAACCTTGAAAGAATGTTGGATTTCCCCACACCCGAATCACCAATCAGTACAATCTTGAAGAGATAATCATACTCATTATCCACTTTATAGGCCATTTGTTCTATGTTTTAGTAACCCAAAACTCAGAGAAAATGCAATCCCGAAGCACACCAAGAAAACAAAAAAAGGAACTAACTTTACCGTTTCAACTGCAAATCTGTTTTAAAGAAAAGGAAACATGAGAATGTGTTATCTTTTTCTATGGGAATTTTTTCCTGGGAAACAAACATGGGGTGAAAGAAGAGAAAAAGATTAACCACAGAGAATTGTGTAGAAATTAAAGGAATTGTAATTCTGTTTTCTTGAAAATTGTCGCAGAAAGAAGAGTGCAATTCGCAGGCAATGAGAGAAACCAGGGTAACGGACGGAAACGCACTTAAAACGGTCTTTCATAATCATTCATGTAGGATCCAACCCGCTAAATATTTTCTGTTTCTTTTTCCCCCAAACCAGAGAAAAACAGGGGTGTTAATGCTATGTTTGGTTCTCGAAGAAAATTTTGGAAATTTGGAATGCCGATTACATGGCAAATTTATGAAATTATTGGAATTGGAATATTATAATGTTACGGTAGAATTTGGAAGCACATTATGTTGGATGGCCTAATATTCCTTCTTGCATAGCTAGCATTCAAGAAAAATCGTGCATTTCTAACTCCTAAGCATTTCTTGATCATTATTTGATAGATTTTTGGATGAAGAAGATTTAAGAACAAGAACTTAGCAAAAGACTTTGATGAAAAAACACAGGTCTGGATTTTCGTTTTTCCAGCCTTTCTCACATTCATTTCATCTTCTTCTACACCTAATATTTCATACAAGTGTAGCTTAAATAAAAGGAGGGAATACATTGATTACATGTTTGCTGCAGAGTAGACAAATCTGCATCATATTCTTTTAGTTGGATTTTGTAGTCTACGTATGACATCTCAACCTCCCAACTAACTATTAAACACACCAACTACATTAATTGAGGAGAGGTACAATGCAAACAGCACTTCTAACATTATTCAAAGCTTTGAAGAATTCGACTCGGAACGGATTTCATCTTGGCGGGCTTAACGAAATAAAACAGTTGAACAACTCATTATATATATTGGACATTCTTTAGGTATCAGGTCGCCTCTGTCATGAGTTATCCTCATCAACCTCACCAGGAGCATGCTTGTTACCTGCCATGGACACGCCCCAAATACAGCCGAAGGTTAGGATGCTTCTACAAGTGTGTTTCATAGGACGGTAACATATGTTGGACCGGCTGTGTTTACTTACAAGGCGGTGCTGAAGGCTCCTTCAGGACTGGAAACCGATCAAAGTTCATTCAAGTGTGCTTTCTCTCAAGTCTGTTGGGGGGGAGAAATCTAGATTTGTTGTGACTGATGGACTGGTTCCTTTAATTTGGGTTGATAGGGTACATCAAGTGAGAAAAGCCCTGTCCTCGTTGCCACGCCCACCACTTTTGGTTAAAGATTAGACTAGTGGTTGTGGAAAGACTGTTTGTAGGTACTTATAAAATGAGTTGTGAAAAATATGATAAAAAAATTAATTGGATTTTTTAGGAGGTTTTTCCATTTTCCTAGACATAGAAATTCCTACTTTTCCAATGATATATGGCAACAAGATGAATGGCACATGGCAAATAGTATTTTAAGTGCAGTTGGTCATGTTTAAGCACTGTGAATATTTGTATTCTCACAAGTGTGAATGGCACATTGCAAATCGCATTTGTACTCTTAGCAACTTAGTTGTAAAGAGACCATTTTTCTTGGGTTTAATGCCATTGTTGGAAAATTAAGATAGGAATCAAGATCATGGTAAACTCCAGCTTTGGAATGTTTTATTTCGCAGCGAGAATATAAATCCTTTGTTGTTGAAGAGCAAATGGTATAAAACCCGTCTTCGCCGCAATGTCAAGCACAATATCAGGGGTAAACCTCTCTAATGGCTATACACACCTCTCCTCTAATTTGGTTTACCCTCATTTGTGTCACTTTCTGTTCTCTTCTCAGCTGCAATGGAGCCTCTGATGAACATGAACGAAAGGCACAGACTTCTCTTCTGAGCTTATAGCTTCTTTTGATAAGTTTTGACATATTTCACTCATGGGCCTAATAAGTGTCCAGAGGACCAAAGCCCTTGTCATGAACCCTCCACTCGAAAGTAGCTTTTGGGCTCTTTTTGTTTGGGCTAGAGCTAGTTATTGACTTCATATAATGGGCCTACTAAGTTCAGCCCAATTGCGTAATATGAACAAAAAAAAAAAAAGGGGTCAACCTTAATCATTTTTTTTTTTTGGCTGCAGGTGCACATTGTTTACATGGGTGACTGTCCAAAGGGTGAATTCTCTGCTGCAACCCTTCACAGTAGTATTCTGCAAGAAATTGGTGGCAGGTTAACGAGAAATAATTTTCATACAGAAAGCACAGTTAACTCTTGGTTTTGAAGTCCTATCATTAGATGGGAGAGTCGTCCTTGCATTCAGGATTCACTCCGTTGGATTATTATTGTTGTGTAGTTTGCGCATTTCAAAACTGAATTGACAGTTTTTAAATTGCAAATTTGTTTTGCCAATATTCTAACTTCCAATTCTGGGAATTGCATTTTGCAGTGCTCTATCAGACTGTTTGCTATACAGCTACCAGAGGAGCTTCAATGGTTTTATCGTCAACTTAACGGAGGATGAAGCAGACATACTGCCTGGTAAGCATTAGACAAGGAAAAATCCTACTTCTGGGTGTCTCCTTTCATGTTTTTTTGTTTTTTGTTTTTTTTTTTTCCCCAGGAAAGGATTGATTTTTCCATTTTACAGAAACGGAAGACGTTGTGTCTGTGTTTCTTAATGGAAAGAAGCAGCTCCA